TAATAACTTTTTTTTAAAAACTGTTTTTTTTTTCCTTGTTACGACAAACTCCAGAGTTAATCTTGTAAAGTTTTCTTTCTGCTGGCATATACACAAACGGGCACCGTCAAAGCACTCGGATATAATTCACCAAGGCTGAAAGTTAAATAAAAGTAATTATGTGCGCAATAAATCAGAAAAGTTTAGTTTTTTGAAGGACATGCTCATTGGTTAGATGTTTTGAAAGAGTGCCTGCTGTATTAAATTGCTCATTCGTATCAACATAAATGTGTTAGCCCTGTGACGGCACTCTTCAAAGCCTGGTGCAGGCTCTTAAAAGTTCATACCAATCACTGGATATTATTGCATTTTTTATGACGGCACTGGTTAAGTTTGATATAAAAATGATTTGGGCTTGAATTTGACTTTTAGTACGTGCAGTGGCCTGGGGTGGTTTCTATTGTAGATCAGTTCGGTATAAATACATTTAATTAATTTTAACTTTTATCAGCCATTGTATGCAGGAGAGGAAGCTTTAATACCGTCTGCCTTTCGTGGTAGTGGGTGATTATGTATCTGCATGTGTCTGTCTGTTAAAATATCTTATGAACAAGTGGATGGATTTTTATGAAACTCTCAGGAAGTAACCATTAAATGTAACCTTTGCAGGTAAGCACTGACAGATTGTAGAAGATCTTTGTTTCTAACTTTAGCACGCAAGACAGTGAACAAGATTTATTCCCTTTATGAAATGCTACTTTTTATCTTTTTTTTTTTTGCTGTCCTGCAGACAAAAAAAAAAAAAGTATTTAACTGCAAGTAAAGTAATTTTTTTGTGTGTGCTAGTCTAAGCTTGAGTTGTGGTGTGTGCTGTTTTTTAATTGTCCAAATGGTTACTGAAGGCCTGTTTTAAGAGTTACTTGGTGTATTTTGTGCCTGTGCAATTTTCTTAAAAGGCAGAGACCCCACAAAAAAAAAAGGGGTGGTGGTGGGGTGGGGTGGGGGGGTGGATCCAGCTTTTGACAGTGCCCTCTAAAATAAGTTGTAAATTAGAAACATCTAAAAATGATGCAGAAAAACAGGTTCATGCATTTGTCGCATCTAGACTGGACTATAGCATCTAGACTGGACTATAGCAGTGGTTTGTTATCTGGGTGTCCAAATACTCCTTTAAAACGTCTTCAGTTGATCCAAAATGCTGCTGCCAGAGTCTAAACTGGAGTTACTGGGAATATCATATCTCCAGTTTTAGCTTCTCTCCATTGGCTCCCTGTCAAATGATTGAACCTGCAAAGCTCTCAACATCCTAGCTCCATCTTATATTGCAGATCTTACTGTTCCATGTTTTCCTAACAGAGCACTTCAGTCTCAGACTGCAGGTTTACTTGTGGTTCCTAGAGTTTCCAAAAGCAGACTCTTCCAGTTCTCAGGCTCCTCTCTTGTGGAACCAACTCCCAGTTTCTGTCCGTGAGGCTGACACATTGTCCAGTGCACTATAGCCTTTCCTTTTTGATAAATCCTATAGTTAGGGTTGGCTTGTTACGCTGCTATAGGCTTAGACTACTGGAGGACAAATTGACCACATTTTTAATTAATAAATTCAATGAACAAATGAATTGTTGAATAGTTTTCATTTGATACTATTTCTATCTAAACATGTGATTCTCGACCTGCCATTGTGTATCTGTTCCTTCCTGTGCCTCTCAAACCCAGCTGGTCGAAGCAGATGGCCGCTTGTCCTGAGCCTGGTTCTGCTGGAGGGTTCTTCCTAATGAGGGAGGTTTTCCTTTCCACTGTTGCCTATGCTGTTGGTGCTTCGTGTATTATTTAGCTGCTGTTTTTCTTAGTTCATATCTTAGATCTTATTGCTGTTTTTCTTTTACATTTTATTGTTTGATGTAACTGGGACCCTGCGTACGTAACCTCGTTCCACTACATGCACCACACGAGATGCGAATGACAAATAAATCTGACTCTTGGTGCTTGCTCAAGATGAGAGCCTGTGATGGAGTTGAACTCGAAGCATTCTGCTCCTCAGATAAAAAGTTATTAACTTATTTTAATATATATATATGTTTTTGTTCAGTGCCCTGAGATGACTCCTGTTGTGACTTGACGCTGTATTGACACTGAATTGAATTGACTATAGGTGCTTTGGTACCTTGTTGACATTTAAACAGAAATGATCCCATTTGATTAAAATCTCAGGAAGTTAACTTGTAAAAAAAAAAGAGCAAAGTATTTATTTTTCTGTTTTACCTTTCCTCCTATTTTTTATTTATTTTTTGGTCTGTTTCTATTAAAGCAGCCATGTGTTAATATTTTATGTCTGTCCATTGAAGTACAAAGTATCTATGGGCCTGATGTGTTACTGTATCAGCTCTGTTTGCTGCATCAAGCTGTACACAGCACTATATCCTTGTTGATGCATTGCCCCTTGGATGCAGTGTTTGTGCTTAGCTAATCAAAGACTGTATCTTTGCACGAACCACTACAAAAAGAAAAGACGTTTCATAAAATATTCACATCTCTGGAAGAAATTCTTAGTGGAAGGAGACGACAAACTGAAGTTATTTTTCCCCGTTGCAGAGTGAAAGGGGACTTGGGACTATCGTTTGTCCGTCTGTCCACCCCAATCATTTGAGGAGACTACGCTTTCTAGTTTTTCTATTGCTTAAAATGAACATTTTCTTAAATAATTGGAGCGGCCAAAGATGAATCTTAAACAGCTTTACGTCATTAATACATTCTTGATGATGGATGATTTGTAAACGCTGACCCTTTCTGTTCTTGGCTAGTGTTGAATGTCCGAGAGCAGATAAGCGAGGTGTTTTTACACTTTACCGCTTGTAATATAAAAGTTTCTGTGATGGAACCTCCCGGACACCGAGTACGTCCTCACGCACGGGTCCGGATGAGTAATAAATGCGGCGCAGGGGTTGTGTTTACAATCAAGGTGCTCCCTGTGGATAAATTCCACTTTATCTTTATTTATTCTTTCCTGAGCGTTGGGAGGCTGGAAATATCTGACTGCTTGCTTTGAAGGTGAAGGTATTTTAGTCGATCTAGTTTACTGTGCGTCTCTGTCATACACTTAATCACACACATAAACACCAGCTTCTGTGTGTGTGTGAAATTAATGGGAGTTAGCAGGAGAGATCATATCGCTCCAGTTTTAGCTTCTCTCCATTGGCTCCCTGTCAAATTTAGAATAGAATTCAAAATCTTACTTCTAACCTACAAAGCCCTCAACAACCTAGCTCCATCTTATGTTACAGATCTTATTGTCCCATATGTTCCTAACGGAGCACTTCAGTCTCAGACTGCAGGTTTACTTGCAGTTCCTAGAGTTTCCAAAAGCAGAATGGGAGGAAGATCTTTCAGTTCTCAGGCTCCTCTCTTGTGGAACCAACTTCCAGTTTCTGTCCATGAGGCTGACACATTGTCCAGTTTTAAGACTTTCCTTTTTGATGAATCCTATAGTTAGGGTTGACTTGTTATGCTGCTATAGGCTTAGACTACTGGAGGATAAATTGACCACATTTCTTAAAAATGAATTGTTACAAATTAATATTTTTAATTTGATACTATTTCTATGTCAACATTCATTCATTCAACCTTTATGTATACAGATAAATCACATTGACTCAAAGACTCATTTACAAGTGAGACCTGTTTAGACAGACCAAAAGTAATGAAAGTGACACCTGTATAGGATTTGGAATCCTAACAGACTCTCACTCCCTAGTCGAGAAGAGATAGCCTGAAATTGAATTAAAAAAAATACCCTGCACATAAGCACATTGTGACGCAAATTCCACAGGGGAGGGGAGTCGACAAGAGCGGTGAGCGTGTCCAAGGACACTCCAGCAGCACTGTAGGAGTTCTGATAAAAATGGTATAACCGGTCAGTTCCCTCTGGTGAGATCCGTAAACGCTCTCGAGGGATGCTGAGGTTGACCTAGGACGGCGCCAGAGAGAATCCAAGAGTCCTGAAATGATGACACAATGTTTATTCAGCCAGGTCCCTCTGATAGGTCCAGAGCTTTCCTTGTTGGGAGGGGAGGGGGCAGAGCATCGACATTACAAGGCCTCCAGGCGAATTGAGATAAGGTGGCCTGTCAAGGCCAGCTGGGGAGCTGAATTCAGATAAACATTTGTTTTGGGGGACAAGTGATTCTCGACCTGCCATTGTGTATCCGTTCCTCCTTCCTGTTTTTCTCAGACTCTTCCGGTCGAAGCAGACGGCCGCTTGTCCCGAGCCTGGTTCTGATACAGGTTTCTTCCTCATTAGGGAGTTTTTTTTTCTTTCCACTGTCGCCTTCATGCTTGCTCAAGATGATTCTGTGATGGAGTTAAACTCGAAGCAGTCCGCTCCTCAGATAAATAATGTTATTCACTTACTTTTTATGTATGTGAATGTTTCTGTTCAGTGCCCTGAGATGACTCCTGTTGCGACTTGGTGCTATATGAATAAACCGAATTGAACTGAAAACTGCGCCATTCATAATCTCAAGCCAAGACACGATCCTCATGCAGCAGCCATGTTGTATGTTTTAACCAATCAGACAAAGGTTGCGTTTGCACGCAGTCGTGTTTCTAACTTGTTCTGGAGGCAGCCCCGTAACTCACCGATTCATCCTGTTTTTAGAAGGAAAGCAGCTGCGCGGTGATCGTCCCTTTCATCTCGGGGCGTGAGCTGCAGTTGCACACTGACTCACACGCTTCCTTAAACGTATGCAGGAAATTTCACTCGGTATTCTGCTGTGTTGCACACTCGGCTTTGAATCACTACAGGAAACAAAGTGCAGAGTCGTTGTGACCGAAATAGCAAATAAAACTCAAGTATTGCTTTTATGTCGTTTATTTTAAGCCTCCTTTTCGTTTACAGCGACGTGCCTTACACCCTGAGAATGCCTTGTTCCTAAAATATCTCGTGCTGATTTCTGTTTGCGTTGTGATTATTTCCTTTTGTCTCGACTAATGTTTCCTAACTTTGGATTTATGTCTGTTTGCTTCAGCAGGATGTACTGCCTGCTACGTTCACCCGTCAGACTGTCAGGAGAGCGCACGGTCTCCGGTCAGCAGCCCACCCCACACTCTTCACCCAGCCTACCAGCGCCCTGTCTCCACAGGTTAGTGTTTCTGATTTCCTGTGTAGGAAAACATTAAAAAATAACCCCCCCCTAATTATTTCGGTTTTATATTTGTGAACTACTTAATCTGAAAGAAAAAAAAAAAAAATCCATATTCATTGATGCGAGGGCATCAGCTTTTTGTGCCACCTTAATCACCTCCTGCTCTTGTTCAAGTCCTTTCTAAAGGTCAGTTTTGAAAATGTTGCCAACATTTAGAACGGAGTTGGATCGATGGGCATCAACCACCCGGATATCGAAACTCGTGTCCTTTTTCTTTGGAAAGTTGCTGCGTACTTTGTTTCATTGTGATGATTTAGACGCTATAAAAAGTTAATCTCAAAATAAATTATAGCTGCTAAAACTACTTCTCCAAGTCTTAGTACTCCATTATCACTCAAAGGGGCTGTTCAGACTAAATCCTTCCTTACTCACTGGATTGCAATAAGATCTTTTAGAAATTGTCTGGATCCCTTTGTTGGTCTGAACACAATCCATCCAGACCCTCGATGTGTGAACTCTTAACGATTTGCAAGACTGATGATTTGTTTCATAGCAACCGTTTGATAAATGGGAATATTCATCCACGTTTATTCCAAAATGTCCAAAGCAGCCTTCCCACAATGGTGTCCTCATCATGATTCAAATTTCAACATGCAGCAGAGGCGTGTTGCCAGTTTCCCTTTTTACATGGTAATAAATCCTACAAAATGTTGAAGCACCGAGAAGCGAGCATACAGATTCCAAACAGTGCAGCAGCCTGAGCTGCTCCCGTAACATTTGCTTTTATGAAAGCAAACTTTATAAAACCTCATCAAGCAGTTTTAGCTTTGCAGTTGAAAATGACTCTTGCATATTGTTGCAGTCAAAGTAAATTTGCAAGTAGCAATATATATATATATATATATATATATATATATATGAAAAGGCATTTTAAACTCTTCCCACACTCTTGCAATGTTCTAAACAATGTTTCTAAACTAAATGCTCAAAAGAAGCACAGAACGTCATGATTTCAGCTGCTCTCAGCCACCTGCAAGCGTTCTTGGCCACGCCCACTTCTCCGCTCTGCACAGAGAACAGCTGATCAGCTGCAGCAGGAAGTTTATCCTGCAGTATGGGCTGCACAAAGGTGCAGGAGGTGCTAAATAATTTACAATTTATTTTAAATAAAAATGTCATGCCCATCGTGCAGCTCATCCATCAATCAGCCATTATGTGTAGTGTCCAGTCTTATTTTGAAAAACCGCAGTAGATGAAGTCCGCGAGAAACGAACCGCAAAGTAGCGAGGGACTACCGTATGTATATTTTATTCATTTATTTATTTTTCATCAACACCAACAGTTGAATTAGTCATGAAAGCTCCTGCAGCTGTTTATTGCACTCTCCAAACTGCCTGGCTCTCATGAGGATTTCAAATTAAAATTTATCGGATGAAATCAATGCGAGTGTGAATCAAACTAACACTCCCTCAGTTAGAAATGCAACGTTGCCATTGCAGTCCAACATGAAGAGGTAGATCTGCAGCCTACAGAAGGTGTGAACTGACACTTTGGTGTCCTTAAAGTCCACCGAGGAGCTGCTGATCTCTCTAAAGTAACTTCCATTACAAGATAAAGTCTGTCCAGCTGGAAATCAAAGTGTTGCTGCTCACATTTCTATTTCCTCTGAGCTCATGAAGGATTTGATTGCTCAAAAGGAGGATTTCTAAATCTAAAGTCTGTATAGGAGGATCGCGTTTAATCGTCTAAGTCCACATGTGCACACGTGTGTAGAAGTCCATTTGTCTTTGTAAGTTATTACTCGAAGATCAGCACTAAACTGTTGCCATGTTCTCAGCGTGAGGTGTCATCAAAGTGGTTTCACAGCTGACCGTGATGGACGACTCTAAGATCGGGCAGGGCGACGTCTCTGGCTCACTCACTTTGCCCTTTGTCTCGTCTTCCAACTCAAACAGGCCACAACCCTTCGCGTTTGGTATTCCTGTGAGTAACGACCACCCGAATCCAACAAAGCAGACGCATTACGTTAAAAAGTTCAGCTCAAGGTTAGGAGTGTACGTTTTTTTTCTTCTGGAAATGCACTCAGCCCCTGACAAACCTACACAGGTTGAAAGTTTTACGACGAGAACAGGATGTTTGTTCCCTGAGAGCTTGCAGTCCGTGCTCCGTGGATTAGCCGAGCATTATCTCACCTCCTCTTCTCTGTGTGTGTTGTCTGTGCTGTTGTTGGGATGTTAATGTATGTCCAGCGCTTGAGCTGTATTGGCTTTGATGACACAGAGAAAGCCAGCGTGGGTTTGCTTAGTGCGGGGATGGCTTTCCTCAGTCTGTGTTTACATTTTCCTGCTTTGGGAGGGCATGATGGTGAGTGAGAACACTGGGAATGTATACATCACAGACACTGCTCGATAGTAAAAACTCCTGCTATGGGTTCAAGGTCTTGTTCGCTACAGAATGACGCAGCAGATAGTTAATAGTCCTGAGTGTTTGTCCTGGTGTTACCCCCAGAGAGAGCCGTTTGTTCAGGGGGCAGGAGAGGGAATAGGTGCACGAGTCTCAGCAGGGAGTGTCTGCCTTCACAGCTCTTCACTAGCAGCATAGCATATTTCATAAAAACATCAAAGGAAGCAGAAATATATTCTAAACAGAATTTTTTTTTGTCAGAGCCTCTAAATATATTTACTTTATCATCTGACATGTGCGTTCTGCACTGTTAACGCTGTTCCCCTTGTGCTTTATTTATTTATTTATTCATTTCCTGTACACCCTGATTTAGTTCCCCTGCACTGCTGCAGTAAAGTACACTTGTCTTCCCCTTGCCAAAGCAGACACCCCGCTCCCTTCCCTCCATTCCTCCCTCTGCCGCCGTCTTGCCGTGCTTCGGTTTAGCTGCAGCTTCCCACGAGGTCTTATGTGTCACGGCTCTGTGCACCCTCACGATCGCGGCGGCACCGTTCGAACGCAAACGTGTCGATCCATCTGCGACACGGCTCCTCCTCGAGGGGAGCTGGGACACCCGTCAAATGTCGAACCGGCGGAAATCTAAGCGAGGAGGAAACGATTTGGTTGAGCTGAGCCTCTTTGCTTCACGTGCCCTGGCTTGAGTTTGCAGGTTGACTGAAGATAAGACGTGCCGTGCACGAACGGGTCCGGTAAGAACAGTGCAGCTGATAAAGATGTAGCGTAAGAGGAGTGAGCGTTGCAACTGCAGTCTCCAAAGCTGTTGAGCAGGTCACACTGGTCAGGTGCTATCTCTTACCAAACCTGTACATGTCAAACGGAAGTCTCTTTCCTGGAACACCAGGAGCCATCTTTTTTTAATTTTTAATCATTACAAACATGTAAATACGTCTAAAAAGACACAAAACAATCTATTTACAGGTTATACAGATAAATTCACATTAAGTTTTTCTAAAACTGAGATGGTTTTCATTGCCTTTTTGTTTTCAAGTCCTTTAATAGTACTCAAGGTAGAAATTGCATCGTTTCATCACGCCAAGCGTTTACTCCTTTCTTATCTCTGTGTTTGGACGAACATTGTGCTGTATAATTTATCCTATCATCAGCTCATTAAATAAATAAGCCACACAGGAAGGAGAAGATATTTTCTTAACCCAGGATTTAATCTTGCAAGATGGAGCAGCGTTGAAATGCAAGCATGCAAGATGTTTACGTGTCACATCGTCTCCAAGTCTGCTCACAGGCAGTATAAGGAAGTGGCTTTTTATAATGGTTATCAGACAAAGGCAAGGTGTTTGCAGTTTAGGGCCTTGAGTTAATCAGGTGAAGGACTCTCATGTTTCTGCAAGCTCCACTTTGCAAAGACAAAACAACTCAACACACATGGTTATACAAGTTACCATATTTTCCGGTGTATACGTCACAGTTTTTTGCATAGATTTGTCAGTCCTGTGACTTATATGCCGAAGCAACTTATACACGTTTTTTTTAATTTCCATACTCATAACACAATTTTTGACTGACACTTTAAATTTTTGAAGAACTGCAACTGCGAGTCCTCCCGTGCCCTCTCGCTTCACTCAGCTGGTGCAGGTGGAGGAAGGCGCCAGGCTGGAGAGCTCGTGGCTCTGGCCGTGATGGATGGATGGTTGGATGGTTGGATGGATGGCACCGCCCAGTTGAAATGAAGCTGTTTTGACCATTAAAGTGCATTTATTAGGAAAAGTTCAACTGAGACACACCTTTGCTATAATGTCAAGCAAAGAAATAATTGTTTTTTAAGTGTTAATCTTGTTAAATTTCGAAGAACTGCAACAGAGAGTACTCCCATGCGCGCTTGCTTCACTCAGCTGGTGCAAGCGGAGGAATGCTGGAGAGCTAGCGGCTCCGGCCGCGATGGATAAATGGATGTCGCTGCGCCACCCATGCGAAATGAAGCTGTTTTGACCTTTGCAAATGCATAATAAACGGTCAGCGGTGATACATAATAAATGCAGCTTATATGTTTTTTTTTTTTCCTCTTCATGATGCTTTTTTTGACTGATGCAACTTGTACTCCGGAGCGACTTGTACGCCGAAAAATACGGTATATAACATTTGACATTATGGTAATAAGTAAAAAAAACATTTTATGGCTTTTATATCTCCATCACATTGACAGTAATCTAGATTTGGGCAATTGCACATTGTTCAGTCTCTGCAGGTGGGCACAGCGTAACAGCCTAAACATCAGCGTTGGGGAAACTGTCAGTGAGTAAAAACAATGGCAGGCGCGTTTATGAAGAGCATCACAAGAACGGTTTGTCTGACACTGACCTGCTCTTGCAGAACAAATTTTCTCTCTCCGTCTCGAACATTTGTTTCAATCTGAAGCACAAGTAACTGTACGTGTTTATAGAGCATCTCCCTCTCTCAATATTTCAAGCACTTCCTCTCCTTTTATGGCATGAAGTCACATAGTGTTTGTGCAAGGGCATTTAGATCGCCAACTCTGTGGAGGAACAAACCAGACTCAGACCGTGGGAGTTAAAGATATT